AATCAAAACCCTAAAGTTTTGGTTCAAGAAAATCTCAAGTAAAGAGCAAGATTCTTCAAGATTGACTTACCTCTTATCTTCTCCAGTCTTCCTCTAGCTTTTTTCTAAAGGATCTCGTCGGAAAAATAAGCCGACCGCCACTCCCCAAGCTCTCCCGTCGCCTCCTCCCCCCTCTCTCGCGTGCGGCCGAATGTAACGAGCAAGGGACCGAAATGTTCGGTCCCTTAGGCGTGTGAAGCTTTTAGGAAAATAGGGTTAGGGCCAAATTATGCATGTGCCCTTCCTCCCAAAGTATTTCTATATGCTCATGAGGGGTAATAAGTGAAGAAATGACTAATATTACTTAAACTTCTTTGACGAATTATAATTTCCAAACCATACGAAATTTGATATAAATTATTTATATGGTTTCGATCAAAATTTTGTGTCGAATTTAATAAAATTTATTTCGTCGAATTTCAACGATTTTGAAAATTTGCCTAAATTCGTCACAGCGCATCGAAATACGTGCGACGCATTCGAACGACAAATTTTGGGTTTTACAGGATCATCCAAAATTAGTCATAATTGTAGGTTTAGCATACAAATTTTGAGTGGTAATACTATCCACATTTGCTCTGCTTGAAACACCTATACAGGCCAATAAAAATCATAAGGAATGCCACTACTATTACAAATTATTTCATACCTTGGAAGCCTCTGTTATGTAACAAGTACATAAATTGTTGGCTGATTAAAATTTCAGCAATATAGAACGAGAGATAGAGAAGAATATTGTGGCAAAACACTTAAATTGCCTTTTAAATTGAAGAAATACAGAAGAAGAGAAACAAGGTATAATGGATCTTCTATTGGAGAGGAAGATCCGACTCTCCTAAATCTTTGGATGCCGCTAGAGCCCAAGAAAGAACTAAGAACCCGAAAAAATTAACAAAAACAGAGATAAAACTTTAACCCTAGCCACCAAAACTTACTTATGCATATAATAATTAGGTAAATCCCAACATAGCCCATTCTATTTGAATTTTCCCTCCTAAATCCCACCAAAATCCTCCTAATTAAGCTTGTGGACCCCACTAGGATTGGGACGACAATGATTGGAGCGGAACTCCCGTGTTCCACCTCCTGTAGACCTGGCTCGGTCTTGGTTGGACCGGCTGGACCGTTCTATCAATACTCCGCTCCCAAAGAGCCACCTTGTCCTCAAGGTGGATGGATAAAAACTGATGCTTTACACTCTCATATGGCTCCCATGTGGCATCATAGTAATGAAGGTTTTTCCACTTAACCAACACTTCCTTGGGCTCTCCCTTTCCATGCTGTACCCCTTGAAGCTCTAGTGTTCCAAAATCACCTCTAAATCCTCTGTCAGTGTCCCTGGTAATTCTGAACTAGTTGTATGATCCCCCACATCTCTCCTCAATTAAGATACGTGGAACGCGGGGTGTATGGAAGCAGTCGAGGGTAACTTCAAGCGATAGGCCACTGGTTCAATCCTCTTCAACACCTCATAAGGGCCAAAGTACCTCGGGGCTAGCTTTTTATTCCTTATAATAGCTACTGTCCTCTATTTATAGGGTCGCAACTTTAAAAATACCCTATACCCAATGGCAAACTGGATGTCCTTTCCATATTTATCAATGGTGCAAAATAGCGTGCGCCATGGCGCACGGCGTGGCGCGGCATACCTACGGCGCCATGTTTATGGCAATGCACATGTATTTAAAATAGCGTGCGCTATTTGCGCCACATGTGAGCCATGGCGTACGACGCAAAATAGCGCGCCAAATTGTTTTTAAATTTCATTATACTTATGAATATTTTTTACAAGAATTAATAACTTAAAAGGTATGATTCTTATTGATTGCTACTTGAAGTGTTTCACTAGCAACCATGGTTTAGAGGCGTCCACCTCTTAAAAAAAAAAACGCTCAGTACTGCTAGGGGGAAGCGCCCCCTTGGACCCCCGGCAGCCTGGCATATTGTTGTATTCATCATCTTTAGTAATTGTTGTTAGTGTTAGTCTGATTCTTCATGAGTGCATGCTTTGTATAAGTTTTCTTCATGAGTGCATGCTTTGATTGGAAGACATTGGACTCTATAGGAGAGGAGGAAGGGGTGATGACTTTAAATATGAGTCATTGTCTCTTGGATAGCTTGTCTTTCATTTTTAATGATATTTCATATTCATGATTATTATTTTATAATTCTTATATAGTTTGCATCATGTTCAAAATGGCGCGCGCCGCACCATGCGCTATGCGTCATTGCTTAAAAGGGACTTTTGCGCCATGGTGCGCCATTCGTCGTTAACAGGTATGGTCCTTCCTGTGCCCATCCACCTGCTTATTCATAATTAGTTGAGCCATAAGCAAGTGTATTTTTTTAATTCCTTTATAACCCTATCCCTTTCCTTCAGACACTGTTTTACTAAAGATATTGTTGTGCAGCTCTGCCCAAAATGTACCAAATATGGAGGGTCTCTCTCGTACATCACTTTGAAAGGACTCATCTGGGAGGCCGAGTGGGATGAGGTGTTGTATTAGTATTCTGCCCATGCTAGCCGCTTGGCCCATACCCTAGGTGTTTCTGAAGGAAAACAACGCATGTACGTCTCTAAGCTCCCGTTCAATACTTTTATTTGCTTATTTGTCTGTGGTGATAAACAGTGCTCCTCTTCAGCACTGTCTCTTGTAGCCTAAATAGTTCCCTCCTAAAATTATCGAGGAACACCTTATCTCTGTCAGATACTATAGACTCTGGTATCCCATGTAGCCTGATCACCTCCTTGATAAATGTGGCCACTTCTGTCACTATCATGTAAGGATGTCGTAGGGGGATGAAGTGAGCGTACTTGCTCAATCTGTCAACTACCACCAAAATTATAGTAAATCCTTCCTATCGAGGTAACCCATCAATAAAGTCTATGGTAACCTCCTCCCACACCTGTTAGGTAGAGTTAACGGTTGAAGTAACCTCCCAGGAGCATGGCCTTGCAGTTGTTCCGTTGGCACATCTCACATCTAGCCACTATATCTTGAACATTCTTGTGCATCCCCTTCCAATACAACTTCGTTTCCAGTCTCTTGTATGTCTTATGTACACCAAAGTGACCTCTAACAACGCACCTGTGGAACTCTTGCAGCGGTTGTAGGATATGAATTAAGATCATAGGCATCACAAACCTTCCCTGGTACAACAATCTCTCCCTTTCTAGAGAATAACCTAGGTAACTGTTCTCATTCTTCAGAAGATCTGCTCTAATTTTCCCATCTCCTCATCTTGTATACTCTCCTTAATAGCACCCCAGTCCAGCACTAGCACCAAAAAAACTGGCTGATATTTGGTAGGGCTAAAATCGGTACTATGGTCATGACTTTCTTTTGTCTCTCAAAGGCCTATATAGCTACCTCTCCCCACAAGAAGTTATTCTTCTTTAGTTTTTCAATTAATAATCAGGCTATGGAGTTGTATCCTCTCACAAATCTCCTGCAGTATCCCTTCAAACCTCTGCAGCTCTCTCAGATTTCTAGGTAGAGGCCATTTATGCATTGCCTCAATCTTGGCTTGATCAGTAGCCACCTCTTCCTGAGAGATCACATGCCCCAAGTATTTCACACTGGCCTATGAAAAGTAGCACTTCTTCAGGTTGGCCCAAAACTGATGTTCCTGTAATACTTCCAAATCCATACTCAAATATTACATGCTCCAATTAAAAAAGAATTATTAAAAAAAAATTTACATGGTCCAAGTGCTCCTCTATCGACCTATTAGGTAACAAGTATAGAAATTGTTGGCTGAAATTGAAATTTCAGCAATATAGAACCAGAGGTAGAGAAGAATATTGTGGCAAAACACTTAAATAGATGTTAGATTGAAGAAATATGGATGAAGAAAAGCAAGATAAAATAGATCTTCTATTGGAGAGGAAGATTCGGCTCTCCCAAGTCTCTAGACGCCACTAGAGCCCAAGCGAGAACTAAGAACTAGAAAAATTCAGTAAAAATAAAGATAAAAAAATTAACCCTAGCCACAAAACATACTTAAGGATACATAATTAGTTAAATCCCAACATAGCCCCTTCTATTTGAATTTTTCCTACTAAATCCTCTCCATAATCCCTTTAATTAAGCTTGTGGACCCCACTAGGATTTGGGCGACAATGATGGGGGCGGAGCTCCCCTGTTCCACCTCCTGTAAACCTGGACCGATCCAACTTGGATCGGTCCAAGGACCAGTCTATTAGCCCCCTTGTTCGTCTTGATTGAAGCTTAAAATGCCTCAAATTACGATAAATTAAGCTACTCAAATGTTGAACAAGACATACATCAAAATCGTCCTACATGTACCGCGACATAAGCATGCATTTCTGAAGAATTTATGGATGTGTTTCCCACTTATTTGTATGAATTTTTCCCACAGGCGTGATATAGGATAATTTTCCTAGATGAAGTGAGACATGAAAGTCAAATGTTTAATTTGTAATCCCTTTATCTGTTGGGTCCAATAGGTGCTGTTTAACTACCATTTACTCTCTAAATTGAAAGTATTGCTTTGGGATCTAAAAATATTGAGAAGAGAAATAAAAAAGCTTCACTAGCAGCAAAGCACCAGCCTTTGTAGAATCTCAGTAGGATGGACTCCCAGTTATAATTCGTTTACTTTTTAACTATATGAGCTAAAAGAGGAAATTGAAACAAAACTTCTTGTTCAATTGTTACGATTTTTGAAGGATTTGAAAGAATTTTGATATGATAAACATATGTACTGGTTAATAGTTTTTCAAAACTCTAAATTTGGATTATTTGCGGAAGCTTTAATTATTTTCTTGATGGTGATTATGATAGGTTATAAAAGGATTGTTGATTTTCGGTTTGTGTTATTAGTAGATACCATAATCTGTAGTAATAAAACTGTTACGGTTATTTTTCTACTATTTTCATTTGTGTCAATTATTAATTCCTGTTTTTTGAATTTTTCTTATTGCTTTTTATTTTTAGGAGGAGTGCAAGCGCTTACGGCAGAGCATAAAGTTTGGGTTTATCAGTAGGCTGACAGTGGTAATGCTAATTTTATTTTTTTCTAGTTATATTGTAGCCTAGTCATGTATGTCAATGCTTCTATGAAGGTTAATGAATATATAATTTTTTAAAGGGAGAAGTTCAAGAAAAAGCGAGGGTTCTACAGGCTCTGAGGGTCAGTGACGTAAGTTCGTCAAATCTTGCACAGCCTAGAGGAATTATCTATGTAACTTGCAATTATCTAGTACTTATTTTTTATTTGTTATTTATACGCTTCTTTTGTAGCATCTGGAAAGTGAAAAATTACGGCTCACCCATCTTCGTGATCGTGCAAGCGAAAAGGGTAGGAAAAAGGAATATCCTTTTTGTTAAGTAGTCGAGTTTGATATTTTCAAATAATTTGGCGGTGTCACATTGGCATGCTACTTCTAGTTAAGCCTATGCTTTGAAAGTTCAGTTTTTCAGATATAAAGAAACCAATCTGCCTACTCCAGTTTAGGTTTGACCTGCACTGCTCACTAATTTTTTGTTGTTTATCTTTTTAATTGAAATTGGTTGATGTGACTCCCTTTCACTTGAGGTGCTTATTGAACCCCCGTAGTTACCTGTGATGTTATTATTTAATGCGATTTTATTTTCTATAGTTTTTTTAAGGAATTCAGTCTGCAGGTGGTCCGGCGTACTTCAAGTTCCCGTAATAGGCTATACTTTTTCTCTTTATATAAAGGGATATTGTTCCTCTTTCTAAATAACAACAACATCATGCCTTTATGGGGTCGGCTACATGAATCATTTTTCTCTATTGGGTCCTATTAAAAGTCAAATTCTCGTTTAAATCTAATAAAGAAAGGTCATTCCTAATATTTTCTAACCAAGTCTTTTTAGGTCTACCCCTACCTTTCTTAACAAAAGTCAAATCTAATACCTTTACTCTCCTAATCGGGTAATCGAAAGCCGCCATTTTATGTGACCAAACCATCTAAGGCGACTCTCTCTAATCTTATCTTCTACTGGAGCTACTCCAACCTTTTCACATATATGCTCATTTTGTATCCTATCACTAAGGGTAAAGCCACTCATCCACCTGAGCATCCTCATCTCTGCCACACTTAACTTAGTATTATGCTTCTCTTTTAATGGCCAACATTCGGCACCATAAAGCATTGCAGGCCCAACTACCATCTTATAGAATTTTCCCTTACGTTTGAGGGGTACATTTCTATCACATAACAAGCCCGATGCATTCCTCCACTTCAACCATCCAATTTGAATTCTGCTGATAATATCCCCATCTATTTCACCATCACTTTGAACAATTGATCCAAGATATCTAAAACGTGTACTCTTATTAATGACTTGATCGCCCAAAGTCACAATCCCCTCACTAGGTCTATTACTACTAAAATTACACTCCATATATTCCGTTTTAGATCTACTCAAGCGAATACCTTTAGACTATAAGGTTGACCTCCATAATTCAAGTTTACCTTCAACTCCCTCTCTAGTCTTATCAACAAGAAGAATATCATCAGCAAAAAACATACACCAAGGTACATCCTCTTGCAAATGTCTAGTGAGAACATCCAAGACTAAAGCAAAAAGATATGGGCTTAAGGTTGATCCTTGATGTAACCCAACCGAAATAGGGAAATACTTGGTCAAACCGCCTTGTGTTTGAACACAAGTAACTTAGCTCCTAATACTATCTTTAATGATTTTTGAATATAAGCATTATTGACTCCTTTTTCAAGAACTCTCCATAGCACTTCTCTTGGAACTTTATCATATGCTTTTTTCTAAATAATAAATATCAGTAGTAGATCTCTTATTTTCTCTATATTTCCTTCAAGCCTCTTAATATGTATGGCTTTCACTAGTCGCTACACCGGCATGAAAAAAATTTGATTTGAGAGAACATTTAGTATCACGGCAACGCTAGCTCATAACTCGCTCCCATATTTTTTAAAGTATGAAACATTAACTTAATACCTCTATAATTCGCAACAATCTAGTGCATCACCTTTATTCTTAAAATAGGAATTAAACATACTCATTCTCCATCCATCTGGCATCTTTTTAGTCTTCAAAAATAGTATTAAAAAGTTTAGTAAGCACTGAAATTCCTTCATCTCCTAAGCATTTCCCAACCTCTATTGGATATTTCCTCGAGCTCAACAGCTTTTCCACCCTTTATTTTCTTAAGCCTCTCTAACTTCAGTTTACTAATACGCCGATAAAATAGAAATTTTTTATGATATATTTAGAGGGTGTAAGTCACTATATGTCAATCTTATTTTACAATCTTCATTAAAATGTTTGCAAAATATTCATCCATCTTTATGAATATCATCTTTTAGAGAAAGTATTTTTTGATCTTCATCTTTAATCACTTCACTTGAACTAAATCCTTAATACTGCCTATCTCTTTGTTGGCTAACTTATAATATATCTTTCTCCCTCTTTAGTATCTAAATATATTATATAAATCACTAAAAGCTAATGTCTTTGCATCGCATATTGGTTTCTTAGCATCCTTCGAGCCCTTTATATATTTCCCAATTATCAGAATTTTTTAAAATTAATCAATTTTTATAACAAAGCTTCTTATTTATACTTTTCTTGCACATTAGATTCCACTAAACTATTTTACTATTAGGAGCTTTTCCCTTGATATCCAAGGACATCTTTGCAATATTTTTATATATAAGCCACTTTTCCCACATAATATTAGCACTTCATGCAGACAGACAAATCTTACGATCTAAAATCTTTTTACAAAAATATTTTTGTAATATTCTTTAAATGCCCCCATCTATCTAGAAAATTGTTTTACACTTATTTTTTATTTTATGCCTTTTTATTTAAAATCAAAACTAATAATCGATGTTGGGCATAATAAATTTCACTCTGAATAATCTTACAATTTGCAATCTAACGATTTAATTTCTAATAAAATATGTCAATCTGGGTTGTCTATACCATTTATATAATATGAGTCATAGCCATTCCTTGTCTTAATAAGGTATTTGAGTAATTTGAAAAATATGACCTAAACAAAAATCCTAATATGGTCTTGTCGCACCTTACATTCGTGCGTTCCCAAATCCATGCCACCATAAGTTTTAAGTCATTCACACAAAATTTAATTAGATATCATATCCAAACCTACTTGAGGAGCTAAGCCTTATAATATTAAAATCCTTCATTCAACACAATCTTTAAAGCTATAATTCTATCTCCAATCCTATAATTTTTATAAACATTATCTTTAAACTCTATCTATAATAAATTCACACATTTTAGTACGACTCCTACGCATGACCCAAAATTTAAAATCTAAACTATCAATTCTAGCCTCTCTCCAACCCTTTAGTTCCTGAATGCTAAAAATATTTACTCCTATGAATCATATCTATAATATCTGATATTTTCTGTAAGGAACACTATATTTTAAGTTCCGATATCTATTTTAGTTCATGGCCCTAGCTTCTTGCCCATCCGTCCTTGATGTGGTACTTGCCTATTTCACTCCCTTCGGCAATGTTTTAATAGTTTCACACTGCTATTAATTGATGGCGTGCGTCGCTCCAGCTAGGAGCCTCTAGCATTAACACAATTTCTTAAAGAATTCATGTCATTATTGTTCGACAAGTTTTACGCTGGCTGTCGACTACCTAACGCAACCCTCCACTTTTCTCATCCAGGACTTAGGACCTGGCAACGACAATGTTAATATTGTTGCTCTTTCTAAGAAAACATGAAATTCAGTCAGGATTGATTATCAATGTGCTAAGTTTTGGAGTGAGAGAGGATCCATGAGACTTTCTTGATCATGAAAGTTTCTGATTGCTCGCATTTCAGACCCATTCTTGCAGATCTTTCTATAGCAGCTTATGATGCATTGGATTTCGTCTGTTCCATACCATTGTTTCCAAAGTCCCTTAAAGTTGAATCGATTTCATGCTGGTAGACCTTTGGGCTCTCTTCGATTTAATGGAACTTCTTATCAAAAATATCTTTTGGTAAATCCTCGTTATAGGCCCATAACTAGTACCTCTTTACATTTCTAATAATTAGAGCTTCTATGATTCATCTTGTTCTATCCCAATCTTGGCCTATATCATTGTACTCCATTATCTCATTTTGGTTTATCACTAGCTGCCAACTTACTATTTTTTATTTTTATTGAGATTCCAACTTTAGATCTCCACTTTGAATGTCAAAGATAATACCAACTTTTTTTTCCCTCAATTTCTATTAAATATTTGAGAGGTAAAATGAAAAGGATCACATTGATTCTTTCTCTTATAGTCACACGTCCAAGATGGGCCACCAACCCCCCTTCCTCTCTCTCTCTCTCTCTCTCTCTCTCTCTCTCTATACATACAGCCACAGATTATGTTGGTGATTAGGTGGCCACTGCGCCCCCTCTACAGGGTCTTATGCAAAGATTGAATGGACAATTTTCATGGTTAGTCTTTAGAGAGTCCCGTGAAGCTCAATATTGTCAAAGCTCAACATTTGACGATAAAGCATAAGGGGGGTGCTTCAGTGTGCAGCACAAATCGTTCCCTGCTTTAATAAATTGGAGCACGTCACTTTTGTATTCAGGTACTAATTGCCCTTGTAAAGTGCCATAACTAGATGTAAATCATGTAATTAAAGCAATTAATCAATTATTAATAAGCAGAATTACTAAGCCATATATACAAGCAACAAATCAGGATTGGCAGCGAAGAAATAATGTAGTAATAATAGGATCAAAGAATCAGTTATTCAATTGGTGTAACAAAGAGTAAAGAAGTCAATTATGATACACCGACGCGGACACGAGACATGAGACATGGCCTTCATTGAAAATATAGGACACGAGTATGGTGCGAACATAACATTATAATTTTTAAATAGTGTATAAAAATTAATATAACATCATATTAAAAATAACAAACAATAACAAATTAATATAATAATTACTTGTCTAGCTTATAATATAAAATGTCTTGTACAATCACAAAAATTTAAGCAAAAATTATTTTCTTCAACATCAAGCTTTAACTACTCATTAAAAGGAATAATAGGATTATCTTCAAGAGTTTGTATTTGGCCTTCAATATCATTATCATTTAATATCATTGCTTCTAACTCTGGTTCATCAAGAGAGATTTGCAATCTCCATTATTCTCATATAATCAATGGAATCAAACTCATTTTCAACAATATCCCATATTTTATTATTTTTTTTATATAAAGTGGAATCTTTCATGATAGAATGAGAAGATTTGTATGTAAATCTTCAGCCCGTTGTGTAGTAATTTTATTCATCTTTATTTGAATGAATATGTGCTCCAATTTCTCT